ATCATTACCCTTCTAACCAGTTCCAAACATCCACATATTTATCTTATAAATAAATGTAAAAACCTCCTCTAAGCTTGTTTGGGATAAATTATCACATTAATTTAATTATCTGAGTTATAACTGAGTTTAAAAACAGGACGATGCATCTAGTTTAATGAAGAATCTGTCTCCAGTCATTAAATCAGGTGTTTATTTATGTAGGTAAAAGTATCTTTAACAACCTGTTAAAATACATTAGAAATCAGGAAATAGCTTCTAATTTATTCAATTTATTTTTCTGTGGGAGGACCCCCAGACCCCCTCCAGTGTGCCCTTTAAACACATTATAAGACTTATGTGAGAGGATAAACCAACACACCTGTGTCTCTGTATGAAACTATGGTTGATTATCAAACTGTATTCTTAGTGAGTTTAAAGGCTGGTACAGTACATGATTGAATGAAGGTGAAACATAATCTCAGTTAATATGGTTTGAGTATTATTGCATCACAACAGAAACATTTGGTGTTCAGTTGTTGATGGGTGCAGACAGTTAAACTGAGCACACACTGAAGACATGAACAACAGAAAAACCTGGTCGCACAACTGTGGGTGTGTCAGACCCCGTCCCCCACGATGCGTCCCCTCCAACTTTCAGCCCTTGGTCCCAGTGATAAACATGTGACACCTCTGAGCTCACACACTGTTTTCGCTTTGTAGGTTTGCTCGTTTGGAGAAGCTGTTGGTGTGTGTAGCAGGGAGGAACGTTTACATTCGCTTCCAGTCTCAGACGGGGGACGCCATGGGTATGAACATGCTCTCTAAGGTAGGACCAGATTCTCCTGCAGTCAGGATTATTTGATCTGTAGGACGTGTGTTCAGTAGGTGTGTAACAAGATTAAAACATCACACCATTTCCCACTGAGCTAAAACGTGTTCTCCAAATCAGCTTCACGGTCCAGTCAACAGAACATCCTCTGGTAAATAATTAGGTGTTCCTTTCATTTTAAATAACATCTGTGGAGGCAGTTCAGATGTGCATGACGAGCACAGGGACCGGTGCAGTCACACCACTGATGTTGTGTAACCTCCAAACAACTCAGACAATAACCGTGTTTCCATCAAGGCTTTTTGATGCACATTTAGAAGTGTTGCATTAAAAATGTGAAAAAAGTCGGATGGAAACAGCAAAATTCAAAAAAAAAATCCTCAATTCGCTTAAAAGTTTTTACGCTGGCTTGAGGTGGTTTTTGGATGATTCACAAAGTAGTTAATGCTCAAAACGGGAGATGGAAACACGTTTGCCAAATAAATTCTGACGTAGCGCATATTTACCTCACGTGACGTTCAGCTGTTTCCGCTTTCCTGCCTCGTCCCGGATGTTATCATAAATGTGCGAAAACATTGCGTTTATTTCCCTACGTCTCCTGGCAGCGTTAAACATAGCCTGTACTAGCTGAATAGATAGAATAATTACAACTTGCCCAACAGCAAGGCATTCATGAAAAAATCGCTCCATTGTCCCGAGATGATTAGCCTCTGCTAGTTAGCAAGTTTCACTTCCTGTTTACTACAGTAAAGCTTGTCGCCGACGTCTGACGTAATCACGCGTTGCGTAGCCTCTTTTATTCACATCAAACAGTCGAGAGGGAAACTAGATGGAAACAGACTTGATTCAAAATTTTATTTATTTAATTTCTTGCGAATTTTGAAAAGTTTGATAAAAATTCTCTCTACAACTGGATGGAAACACGATTAGTGCTGTAAGAAGGAAAACATCCAGAACAAATAAAGGTCCTACTTAAACAAAGAAATGCAGCAATGTGTTCTGATTCATCAAAAATATGTACTGAGAAAAGTTGTTTAGGAATATTTTGATTCAAGAAATGTTAAACATAAAAAATAATCGATCTTTTCAAGAAAAGCTGGTAAAAGATTTTGGCCTCATGAAACTGAATCCTGACCCCCTTTAGATAAAACCACCCAGCTTTGATGCTGTGTTGTTGTGTTGAAGTTGTTCTTCAGTCTGAAAACCCTCAGACTCCAGGCCAGGAGCTTGAGTTCATAACCAAACCTCCAAGAGTGCTTAGTAAAAGCATTTTTCCACTGTATATATTTAATCTTTGAAGCTTTCTTCACAATCTAGTGAAGAACTTCTCGTTATCTTATCTGGTAAGATGAGTGTGTCTTTCTGCCCCAGTGTTGGTCAGTAAATCAGATGTTTGTGTGTTGTCCTCTGCAGGGCACAGAGCAGGCTCTGCACAGGCTCCAGCAACACTTCCCTGACCTGGAGGTGCTTTCGCTCAGTGGCAACTACTGCACGGACAAGAAGGCCGCTACAGTGAACTGGATCTTAGGCAGGGGCAAGTCAGCTGTGTGTGAGGCCACTATTCCTGGCAGGGTGGTCCGGGAGGTAACAGTTCAACCAACAGATCATCCTGTAAGGACTTCATGCTTCATCTTAGTTCTTTGTCATGGTTCTTTGTGTTTCACTGGTACTGTAGGTGCTGAAGAGCAGTCCAGCAGCTCTGGTGGATCTGAACATCAGTAAGAACCTGGTGGGCTCAGCCATGGCTGGCAGCATAGGGGGCTTTAATGCTCATGCTGCCAACATCGTCGCAGCCGTTTTCATAGCCTGTGGACAGGTAACACTTCAACCTCACATTATGTTTTATACAGTGTAGCAATACATCCAGTTAGTCAGTTCATATGTACTCTCAGTGTTTGTCTTTGTCACACATTTGTCACAACACATTATTGTTCATAAGATACAAAAGATAACAGAAATTGCAAGATTTCAGAACTGTATCTGTATGAGAGTTTTAGATGAACAAAATGTGACACAAGAATAACAGAGACTCAGCATGTTAGCAAGACCAAAACATCTGGTCTCAAATATGTTTCAGAACTTTTTAAATGACCAGAAACTCCAATTTACAATTAATACAATATAAACTCTTCTATAGAGCAGTGCTTCCCAACCCTGGTCCTCAGTAATAATAATAATATTAATAATAATAATACATTTTATTTATAAAGTGCCTTTCAGGACACCCGAGGACACTGTACAACAGAAAAGAAACAACTGTAGATACATATGACTCGAGAGAATATTCAACTGCAAGAATAAAGTAAATTTATTAATTTTTAATTAATTAATTGTAAACAGGGGAGCTCCCATTAACCTCATCTATCTGCTGTCATTTCAACAACCTCCGACCTGATTTTAACAGCACTCAGGCGGACGAACCTGCAAAACTTAAGACTACCAATGTTCACTGCAAACTTACACTGGAGACTCTGTTCACTGCAGAAATACTACATGCAACACAGCCACAGTAACACTTCAAGCAGGATCGGGTCTCCGATGTTTAAGATTAACAGCGATATGAAGTGTTTACATGGTGAAGTGATCAAAGAAACAAAAGACAAACAAAAGAAAATTGTTAGTCCACCCTAACATTATTCTAAAAGAAAACAAAAAAAACAAAATCCGAAAACTGAGCTGAACTAACAAAAAAACAAAATGCTCTAAAGGACAGCAGGAAGCAGTGACAAAACTGTAAAAAAACACAAAATGCAAAAATTATGAAACACTTGTGAAAACACTTTAATCAAATCCCTCTATAAAGCAAATTAAAACACTGCATACAGTGGGGAAAATAAGTATTTAGTCAGTCACCAATTGTGCAAGTTCTCCCACTTAAAAAGATGAGAGAGGCCTGTAATTGACATCATAGGTTGACCTCAACAATGCGAGACAAAATGTGAAAAAAAATTTGAGAAAATCACTTTGTCTGACTTTTAAAGAATTTTTTT